GGTAGAATGGAGCTATCAGCTGGCATGTTGAACCGTGCAATTGAGCCATAGTGCATCATCCTGGATTGCAAAATAACATCATCGAGTGAAATAATATTGTGCGACGCATTATTAAACTGAATTAAAGTTTACAAATATCCACTATGTCTTGGCGGGACTATCTCTCCTACCATTTGGCATGACTGGTGAGCTATCTCAAAAACAATGAACAATAGAATCTCTCCTCACACGCAAACTTGTAATTAAAATTTCATCACTTTGTGGTGCTTTGAGTAATTCATTCACATGGGGATCCTCTCCTTCGGTCATTGTTGATGGAAAACCTAGATATATCATGGTAACGAGGACTACTTTTGATACAAGTGCTGGATAGATTTCTCCGGTCTAATTTCCAGCTTTCTACTACATGTGTTGCACGGTACAACTAATTAAATTACAGCTTCAGTGTTACAAAAAGTTACAACATTGTTCCAACAAAACAAGTCACAACTATCAACATAGAAAGCAAGCAATATGTATTGCTTAAAAGACGAGCATCAAAATCAAGAATTAAAGCGTTCATACCACATACAATTAGGAATTTAGTACTGATAAAAATGGAGCTTCCAACCTGCAATCAAGTAAATTTTATCTAAAACGAGAGGCCATGTTTATCTTGGCAGCAATGGTAGAAATTCGTTTGGATCTTGGCCTCTATATCCTCCATGTAACCTATTCAAGGCACGATCCTAATCAAGGCATGCAACAGGCCTCTGACGGCAGGCCCGCACCTGTGCAGAGTGTTCGGCTGCAAAGGGCCTCCAAATCAGTAGGACCCCCATTTTTCTATTATGTGATAAAAAAGCTCTTATTTATATATTCCCTAAAAAAATCTCTTATTAATATATAGGTATATAGTTTAACATTATAGTGACCAAATGTACGATTTGTACTTCATATTGAATTACTACATATAATTAAATAATTCCAACAACAACATTTTAGGGTCTCTTTAATATGTCGAATCCACTAATAAAAAATGATTTGTCAACATTTTAGCATCTATGTCAGAAGGTATGTGGATCGTGTTAGTCTACGTCATGTCTTGTACACCGCGTCGATATTGAAGAAAATGGAAAAGAACGCGTGAAATGGTCAGCAGGCTAACAGCACAGCCCGGTCTTCACAAACTCAGTCTATTTTGATCAAGTACGTACCAGCTGCTTGTGTTTCCACCTACACACAATATTCAAAGTCCCACCAACCGCACATGTTTCTCCGTCCCACCCGGCCAGGATTGTCCTATATATAGGACCGGACACCGCCACCTAGGGAAGCAAACACATTCTCCGCTCAAGGACCAATACATCAGCACCTCCCTTGTAATCTCCTCTGCTAAGCTCTCCTTGCAGTTCAAGCCTCAATGGCTGTCACACGAACCATTTTTCTCGCCATGGCTGTGATGGCCATCCTGAGCACCGCATCAGCGGCGATCTACAACGTTGGCGAGCCCGGCGGAGCGTGGGACCTCAGCACCAACTACGGCACATGGGCATCCTTCAGGAACTTCAAAGCCGACGACCAGATCGTCTTCAAGTACTCCCCTCAAGCGCATGATGTCCTCGAGGTCAGCAAGGCCGACTACGACTCCTGCAGCACCGCCAGCCCCATCACCACCCTCAACTCTGGGAATGATGTCGTCACCCTCACCGCCTCCGGCACCCGGTACTTCATTTGTGGCTTCCCTGGCCACTGCGCGGGTGGCATGAAGGTCAAGATCGATGTCATGTCTGGCTCCTCCTCGTCACCCGCCCCAGCCAGCGGACCAAGTGCAAGCAATGCTCCCCCGCCGACCCCTGTCTCCACTGCCACCAATGTGGAGGCCATCGGGTATGGCCTCGCCGTTTTTCTTGCCGTTGCTGGCCTCATGGCTTGAGTGCATATCTGCAGTCACAGGCACATGTGTACTTTGTGTATAGTCAAGTAATTATAACTAGCAACTATATGTGTGTATAGTCAAGTAGTTATGTGTATGTTGGACATATTCAGGTTTTCCGTTTTGCTGATTCGTTTTAGAGATTAATAAAAATTCGTTTGGTCTTATACAATATTTGTCTTGACACACATTCTTGCTAAACTGTGAGAACCAACAATTTTGTAACTTAAACTTGTATTACAGAAATATATACTTAGATTAGACATGTAATTTGTATTGCCCCAGATTGTAAATGAACTATCCTGAAGAAC